TTTTTTTTTTTCCTTTCCTTTTTCTTTTTACTGTTTTTGTTTGGTTTATTTGGTTAGACCTTATAATGTAACATGCCATGCAGAGGATCCAATATGCTAAAACAGAATCAGATTGTATTGCTAAGGCAGAGGGTACCTATGACAAGAAAAAGAAGCAAGAGGAGAAAGGTATATATTTTGTCGAGTTAAGCCAATTCTCTTTCTCACTGACTCTTTGTATTCCATGTGGGAATATTGCTTAGTGTAAAATTTACTTTGCACAGATATTAGATCCTTATGTGATGTTTATGCAAATCCATTATTCAACTCTGCGAAGTTCCATTGGAGGCTTATATTTCACCTCATTAAGGCATGCATTCGTTTCCCCTTCAAGTTTTTAGCAATTTGATCCCACATGTACCAGATATGAAATATTCCACGGTGATCAAGGAAGCCGAGAGCCCGAGCTAGTTCATGGATTTAAATAATTTAAATTTGCATAATTTTGTGGTTACTTGTTTTCATTTTTATTTTATCAGTTGAATTACGGTATGGTAATGAAGCTAGTTCATAATAAGACTGCTTGTTCCCTCAAGTCAGAGGACCTGTTTCTGATGTACAATTTGGCACAGAATTGACTGAATGTGGATTGTAGTTTAAGTTAAGACATGATGCTGTTTCATTTTCTCATATGCAGTGGATTACCAAATGTCGCAATAACTTCTTAACCTTTAGCTAAAGCATTTTAATTGTTTATGGCTTACTGAGTCTTTTGCACAATGTTTTCTTGCAACAAAATTTATTTGCTTATCCAGCTGAGAGAAAGAAACGTGCTGAAGAAGGTCAGCAGACTGCCACTGCTAATGGTTCCAAAGCCGACACTTATGGAGTCCCATCTGTGAGNNTTTTTTTTTCCTTGAATCAATACAGTACTATTTACCAAGTTCATTTATTGACGTCATCTGGTCCGTGTGATGGCAGTTGTGGGTTTATCTGATTTCTTATACTGGCACGTTGTGAAAATAAGTACAACTTGTGCCTTTGATGCTTTACTATGTGGCAGACAAAGCCATTCCAATTGTCCTTTCCCCAAAAGTGCTTTGGGTTAGTTTAGCTACATGAATATTGAGACTTTGATTGTGAGAATTCCTTTCTTATCCCTATTATTCGTGCTTTGTCTTGTGTACTTGTTTTGAAACCCATGCAGACACAACACAACAAAGATGCTTATCCAGGCCAATATTATGAGCTTCTCGTGGCATATATATATTATTATATACATATTTAGGGTTAGGATCTATGAAGAACCATTCTTAATGTACGAACTAGCTACCCTGCTACATTACATTGAATATACTGCAACTTTAACTGTACAATAAATTTTTAACAGTGCAATCAGAACATATATATTATAGCTGTACATACAATGTATTTTGGCAGTGGATATATAAGACATTTGAGCAGGTTTTCTACCAGATCCATTGCATATAATATCTCTGATTTTGAGTTATTCATGGTCCTCAGTAGATTTTATCTTTAATGAAACTGGTTATGACTTATGAATGTTGGTGATTGCAGGCTGCTCCTCGGCCAGGAAAGTCCGGCACACAAGAGGCAGTCACTGAGCCCAATAACATTCTGTTCGTTCAAAATCTACCGCCAGAAACAAATAGCCTTACGTTGGAATCGTTTTTCAAAAAGTTTGATGGCTACAGAGAAGTTCGAATGATTGAAGCAAAGCCGGGTATTGCCTTTGTGGAATATGAAAACGAGGCCTCGGCCTTCGCTGCCATGGAGAGCCTTCAGGCCTTCAGAATCACCCGCCATTATCCAATGGCCATCACATATGCCAAAAAGTAAAATAATCACTTTTTTTTTTTTTTTGTTTCTTTTTTGGCAGAGTACCAGTTTTCTGGTTATATGCTGCAATATGTCGAGTTATTGTATGAGTTAATGAGAAGTATTGCACAAAGTGAATATAGGTGCAGCCTGATCGCATGTTCGAATAATTGACTTGGTCTATAAGTTTGCTCCGGAATTCATAACTATTCGTTTGGTGTTGCTTCATATGTTTAGTCGTTGCCCGAAAGCTAGCTTTGGATTTCAATCACTCTGTTTGAGCTTTGTTTGATGATTACAGTTGATATCTAGCTGAGCCAAGAAAGACAGGAGCTTTGAGTATTTTGGTATTTCTAGCATTTAGTAATGTTTCTAGACATATCAAGGCTTGGTGACAAAGACGTGTTGTGCCTGTGCATTAGCAAGGTTCATTGATTATTACTACCATCGTAAACCTGTTAGGCTATCATACATTTTATTAATATCCTATACATACCAACTGGAAGATTACTGGCGCAGAGCTATATGGAATCTCTTCCAGGGGCCTTTTCCTGGCTTGGGATTTGGGATTTCGACGAGTTATTGCGGAGATAGATAGCCAATGCGCTCTTCAGTTGGTTTCTCCGTTACGGAGCCAACAACTAATGGGACAATTTCATGTGGGGCTGTCCCACATGGTTCTAATGTGGAACAACCCCATATAAAGCTATTCTATTGGTTGTTGGCTCCGTAACGGAATTGACTCCTTAGCATTCTTGCAAAATTTATATCGTGACATCACACCTTTGGCCTTGGGTTAAAGATCGTAAGAATTGGATTGGATTGATTGGACTGAACCGATCGGTTTTATGAGGAACCGACCGTTCTAGTAAATCAGTTTCCAAAAAAAGGGTTTTTACTCTTTGTCCGCTCGAATCGGGCGATACGGTTCATTTTTTTATTATAAAAAATAATTTCCATATTTTAAAATAAAATTTTTAATTTTTAAAAAATATATATTTAAATATTTGAAAGATTTGCATTTTAAAGTTTAAGTCATAACAAAGGAGGTTAAAATAATGAATCCCTACTTCACTCGTCAGCTGCGGCCTCTGTTATCTCCTAAACCCCCGCCATTCTTCCCCCCCTCCTGGAGCTGCTGCTAATGCTAATTTAAAGGTAAGATTATTGCAGAATATATATGTGTATAGAAACGCATTCTTTATCTGTTAATTTGTGCTCGACCACCAAATACTTATATCAATTTATCTTTTTTGTCAGTGTATTCAGCATGAATCGCTTCTTCTTCTTCTTCTTTTTTTTTT